TCGGGCACACCCCTCCCCCGCTCGCCCCGCCCCCTCCCCCTCCTATGTCATCGTCCATCACTATGTTTCACTGTAGACATTGACACCGATGCCAATTTTGTAGACATCGCCCAACCCATCTCACAATTACTGTGACTAGGAGATACCAACTTGTAAAAAGCATTTACATCCTCGTAGAACTCGTAATTACAACTTGTGAACTGGGACTTTTCTGAGAGCTACAACTTGTACCACCTGACCACCAAGGGTGTGAACAGCTCCAAGTAGAATGTCATGTACGTCATTTCGAAATTACTGTAATTACGACATGGCATGAATGCAGCATAATTCCCTGTTCCCTCATTTGATCTGGTAATGTGCTTCCCTCTTTGTGTCATGTTCTGACTGGTTCTTTGTTTGATTGTTCACAGGTGTCTCTTGTTAGTCATTATTAGTCCTTTATCATTTCAGGTTATCGTGATCTCACAAAAATCCATTATAATCGATGAGGCTTGACCATAGGAGGGGTTTAGAGACACTGAATCTTAGAACTGCTTCGAACAATCGTTTGAGAATCGTTGGAAAACGAGGTGATATTAAATGCATATTTTGAGAAAACGAAAGGGATGTTTGACCTTGCATGTGTAGCCGGTGATAGTAGTTTTCTCCACCAATTAGTGGAACGAAGGGTCGTGTTGTTGTTTCACATGTCCTATTTGACCTATAAAGGCAGTGGTGGGTGTTTTAGGAGTACACGTCTAACAGTCACGAGTGACGTCATCTGATTTCCGGCGAGGCGTGGGAGTGAGTAAATGTGTGGACTGAGGAATCCTGCGTCACATTGTTGCAAACGTGTGTTGTATGGGATTAAGTTTACGATGTGGAGTTTCCGGTGTACAAACCGTTAAAAAACAAAACATAAGGGAAGGGCACGGCACTGAGAGACGTTGCAGTGGGTTTCTCGTCGGGGTGTCGTTGGCTGCATGCTCATACACGGATACCGGCGTTGCTGTTTCCCGGGCAGCGGTGAGGTGCAGACAGCCTTGTCATACAGGACGGTGCTTATTAAAACTGTCAGACCGGCGGTTTTGAGTTTGTGAATTAGAACTAGTGTGTTACAGAGCTGTTTTATTTTATGCGGCGACCAGTGTGTTTACGACAGTATTGGCCACTTGTAATATCAGCTGAGCGGAATGCTATCGGCAATTGTATGGTTGAGGTTTGTTGGTTTGTTTTTTTCTCTGTGGCTTTTGTTTTCTTATTATTCAATTGTCAGCTTTATACGAATTGGGAGAGTGTGTGTTTGTGAGTAATCTAGTGTGATTTCATTGTGGTTTTGCTTTCTCTCCAGGAGTTGGGGCAACCAGTGATTTGTGTGAGGGGCAAGCACCCATTCTCTGCTTGGTGGTGGTTTATTCTGCGTGCGGTGTCCAACACTTGGGGTGTTGTGGAATGCAAGTGCACGTGGGTCTGCTGTGCGGTTGTTTTATTTAGGTGGGCTAGGCCCCAGCCCTGGAGTGGAGGTAGAATTGAGTATGTTGTAAATTTTTCTTTTTTGCATGTTTGTTACTTATTGATTTTCAACAAAGTGTTTATATTTCATCCGTCTCACATCCTGACTCAGCCTTAACCGAACCTGTGAGCCTTTTATTGATTTTGAAACAGGCGATTCCCCGGTAGATTAGCCTCTGGGGTGGCGTAGTCGGGTATTTTAGAGGTGCTTGTTAAGTCTACCTCTGGGGAGGGTTATTGAGATAGGAAAATCTTCCCCTGGTTCTAATCTTTAATTGCTCTTGTTAGTACTCCCTGAGAGTAACCAGTACGTGTGCCACAATCTGGCGTAGTTGGCAGGGTTTACGGCTGTTGTTTAAAGGACTGAGACATTGGTTTATGTTTTGTCTGCCTGTTTTTTTCTTTCTCCAGCGCAGTGGTGACTGTTGGTGTTTTCTTTGGGTAAGTGACCTTTTTGTATTGTCGTCATGGAGGATGATTTGCGAGAAATGCGAGATTTAGTGGCCCAATTACAGGCAGATAATGAGTGTAATTTTTAAAAAGTAATTGAAACAAAAAAAATTAATTAGAATAGAATTAATACCTTTTTAATTCCAGACTTTTCAAACTTTTTTTTTACCCTTGCCTTGGCATGCTCATTTCTATGAAGTATGTATGCTTTTTCCTGATCCTAAAGAATGATTAAAAACAACAGACAAAGACACACACACACATATGTAATAAGTAAAATATGACATAAGTAAAACCAGCAAATTTACTCAGAATCAACACTACAAACTTACAGGGGAAACTGACAGTTAAATTAAGTACTGGTTCATGAAAACAAAGAGGCCATACAACAGAAAAAGTGCTAGTACAGTCATTTTACAAACCTTGTCTTCTGAGATTTGGTCTCTTGGAAGCCGTGCAGATCTAAAATAATAATAATAATAAGTTGTGAAGTGTTGCATGTTTACTAGATTACTAGAATTACACTTCTAAGCCCTTCATTTCCTATACATAATATTCACAAAATACCTCATATACTCTTTTCGATTGACGTCATCAGTCTTTGTACAGATGAAGCTGATGCTTTTGCATTTTCCTCCCGATCCCAGTTCTTCAATGCAGTGCTTTAATATTCCCCAGGGGTCTCTGTCAGTGATTGCTCGCTTGATATCACTTACAATCCACACAGAAGAGCACTCTCTCAGTTTCTACAGGAATTAAAATAGTGAGTTAGGGGACTTAGTTAGGGTTCATAGTGACACAATAGATTTATTGTGTGGTTGTACAATGTATTTGGCAAAAGACTCCTTTTAAAAGAGTGTAATAATATATTTACAGATTTCCACAGGTCATCTCTAGTCCTACTGCAGTCTCCACTCCCAGGAATATCAAGAAGCACAATGTGCTCCAGGAGTTCATGACAGTCTGGAATCTTGATTGTCACAGTTTTCACAAGCGGCCAGAACCAATCACCAGAACTTGACTCACTGTGTTGTATGTAATTTGCAACATTGTTGGTAAATTCATAGGCCTGTTGAGATGATAAATTGCTTTGTTTTACTTTGCTGAAAAGCAAATTAACAAATACATATAATATGTTAAATATTCATCGGTGTCCTAACACTTACATTACTGTTTGAGATTATTTTCTTACTGACAGACAAAAAGTTTTCAATCTCAGCAAATTCTAATGTTTTCTGGTCTGCATCAGCTCCATATAGCATAGTGATCTTTTCTGTAGCAACCTCCTTCAAGTCATCATCATTGTCCTCATCTTCATCTTTTATATCTCTGAAAAGTTTTTTGAGCTCTTTCTCCCACTCCTGCAGAGGTACACAGCACACAGTATAGAGGGAGTTAAGGCTTAGTTCTGTTGCAGCCAGTCTGATTTATTTACATATTTATAAAGAATTCTCATTAAAGGCATTGTAAGATAAATGAGGAAACCTCTTTAGAGATTAATTCAATCTCTGCTATGTAGTTGGAGTCCGTAAGATTGGCTTCCACCTGAGTAACAACAGCTGTACATGCACTAAGACAATCAGACGGTAGGAGATCCTGTTTCCCCAAGACTGCACTTAATAGGGCGCTTTTTCCATCTCCTGATTTTCCAAAAATCCCTATGGTTGCCTTCTTCCTGCTGCCTTTATCCTTTTGATCTGAATTTTTAGTGACTCTTTTCAGAATTTGCCTTGCATTCTCCGTAATCATATCTGTGTGCAACAAAGAAAATAATTACAATAGGGGTGTGTGTGTGTGTGTGTGTGTGTGTGTGTGTGTGTGTAGCTTTGTTTTTCTGTTGGAATCTTGTTTTTCTTTAACAATTTCATCAAACAACTGTACAACTGGTAAGTTGGAATCATTCAACAATCACGGTGAGTAATGGATTCTCCTGTTATTGTTACTTGCACTGCTTGCCACATGTATAGTGTAGCTTTCTCTGTCAGCAGCAACATGTGATAAATGCAGGAAAATAGTTAAGCTGACAGAGACGATTTCAGAAATGAGAACTCTAGCGCAAGTTCAACCAGGAAGACTCTAATGTGACGTCATTAATTACTCCTAGATCTAGCCAATCATCACTCGACACCTGGAGTATATTAGTTCTGTTCTCACTCATTACTGTGTTCGCAGATACTGCTGCCGCATTCAACCCCATCCTCCCCACCACCACCAGGTCAGTCCCTGTCCATACATCAGGGGATAGGCTCCGTCCCTGCCTTCATCTTCAGGCAGGAACTGCAAGCATCCACATCTCTCTGGATTCGAACTATGGACGGGGCCTACGCCAAAGAATTATTTCTTATCTAACAATTTGAATACTACTTGTTAAATAAATATTATTCAGAGGTTCTCTTGCCTCCCGAATCTTTCTGGTAGAACCAGAGACATGCATCCAAACTTTAACTGAGGATAGTAAGAATGTGAGGGCCTTAGATACAGCTTTGGATGCGACTAGCTTAACGAGTCCTGTTCATTGTTCGGTTCTAGTTGCAGAGGCCCCACAGCAGGGCTGAAATGCTCCTGGTGTTAGTTGGCACCGCGTGGCAACACTACTCTTCTGTTCCGATCAAAACATTAAACAGGTTCTCCCCACTCAATGACACACCCACTGAGAAACATGATGAAAGTGCCCTAGTTATTGGTGATTCTATTGTATGGAACGTGAAAATAGAGACTCCAGCCACCATAGTCCAATGTTTACTGACATGTGCCTGACATCTTGGCAAATTTAAAAGTGCTGGCTAATGCTAAAAGTAAATTCAGTAAGATTGTTATTCACAATGCCACTAATGATGTTCAACTTCTTCAGTCAATTGCAAGTACGATTTCAGACACAATAATATGCTCTGGTCCCCTCCCTGCTTACCGTGGTGATGAGATACATAGCAGACTGTTGTTGCTTGTTTGTAGACTTCAGTTCGGCCTTCAATACCATCATACCTGACCTTTTCTCAGACAAATTGACCCAGCTCTCTGTGCCCACCCCAATCTTTCAGTGGCTCACCAGCTTCCTGACAGACAAGCAGCAGCTAGTGAAGCTTAGGAAACCTTCCTTAGGAAACTCACATCCAAGACTCTCATGATCAGCACTGGTGCCCTTCAGGGATGTGTGCTCTCCCCACTGCTCTTCTCCCTGTATACGAACGAATGCTTTGCAAAAGACCCCTTTGGTTAAGCTCCTGACATTTGCAGATGACACTACCATCATCTGCCTCATACACAACGGAGGCGAGTCTGCTTACAGACAGGAGGTTAAAGAGCTTGTTGTCTAGTGCAGTCACAACAACCTGGAGCGGAACACACTCAAAACAGTGGATCCTGGGCACCACCATCTCTCAGGACATCAAGTGGGACACTCACATAGACTCCACTGCTAAAAAGGCGCAGCCTAGGTTGCACTTCCTTCGCCAACTGTGGAATTTGAACCTGCCACAGGAGCAGACAATTGGACAAGTTTTTGGGGCAATCCTGACCTGTTTAAAAGAGATGGTCTTCATCCCTCCAGGGGTGGTGCTTCTCTTCTCTCTAAAAATATGGCAGTTTGTACTTGACTAACTGGGGCCCAGGTCAGGAAGCAGACAGTCTGGCTAAACTGACCGTCTACTAGCCGCATCACGTCAGATAAGTCAGTAAATTCTCAGCACATAGAGACTCTTTCACCTAGATATCATACTACACAGACTAGTGTACTAATATCATACCACAAATACAAAAAATGTCCAAACCAGTTTAAGAGTAACAATTTAATTGATGTTCAAAAAATAAAAAAACATATTATACTGATAAACAAATGATAAAGCTTGGCTTAATGAATATTAGATCCCTTTCTACAAAAGCACTTTTTGTAAATGATTTGATCACTGATCATAACCTGGATGTGCTCTGTTTGACAGAAACCTGGCTAAAACCAGATGATTACATTACTTTAAACAAGTCTACCTACCAAGATTACTGTTATAAACATGAGCCACATCCAAAAGTTAAAGGGGGAGATGTTGCTACAATTTAAAGTAATATTTTCAGTATTTCTCAGAGGTCAGGTTTCAAGTATAATTCATTTTAAGTAGTGCTGTCAAACGATAAATCGTGATTAATCACATCCAAAATAAAAAGTTTTGTTTACATTATATATGTGTGTGTACTATGTATATTTATTATGTATATATAAATATGCACACACATGCATGTATATATTTAAGAAAAATATTTTATATTTATATATTAAATGTATGTACAGTATATATAATATAAATTATATGAATATAAATATAAACAAATACATGTAAATATTTTCAAAATATATACTGCATGTGTGTGTCTTTATATACTAAATAAATATACATGGTACACACACATATATTGTGTAAACAAAAACTTTTATTTTGGATGTGATTAATCGCGATTAATTGTTTGACAGCACTAATTTTAATTAATGTTGCTTCATATAACATTATCTTGAGTTATGTTAAGAGTTAATGATAAATCCCCTGTGACGTTTGTACTGGATACTGTAAACAGGCCACCAGGGCACCAATTAAAGAATTTTGCTGATTTTCTATCTGAGCTAGTGCTGGCTGCAGATAAAGTCTTAATTTTTGGCGACATTAATATTTATGTAGATTTTGAAAAAGATGCACTGGGATCAGCATTTATAGACATTCTAAACTCTATATTGGGGTTTGACGACACGTGTCAGGATGTACTCATTTTCGTAACCAAACTCTAGATTTAATACTGTTACATGGAATTGATGTTAATGACATTGGAATTCTGCAGCAGAGTGGTGATATCTCAAATCATTTTCTAGTCTTGTGAATACTCCATATAGCTAAAGCTGCAAATTCAACTCCTTGTTACAAATATGGTATAACCATCACTTCTACCACAAAAGACTGCTTTGTACATAATCTTCCTGACTTGTCTCAAATCCTCAGCATATCCAATAGCTCAGAAAAACTAGAAACTGGACTTTCTCTTTACTAGCACTTTAGATTGCTCCTTTAGGTTGCTCCTTTACGCTTAAGTAAGATTAAGGAAAATAGTCCGAAACCATGGTATAATGAGCACACTCGAGCCTTAACCCTCTGGGGCTGAAGACCGCACTGGTGCGGTCTGTCTCGTTTTTTCTTGATGACCGCGAAAAGAGCTAAAAACACCTTGTCATTTTTGATCATACAGATAAGAATAAGGTATTGTTTGAAACTGCAAAGGGTCTACTTTTATTTGTGTATAGTCATAATAACAACAAAACAATGTGCTTTTGTAAATTATAGAAAATAAACAGTGTGCTCTCTGCCGTCTCGGTCTCTGTCACCTCTCTTCACAGACACGTAAATAAAACAACCTCAATCTCAGCGAATCCTTGCCTCACAGACATAAGAAATATATGTATAGAAAGCTTGAAATGTCTACTTTTAAATTAAGTAAGTCTCGTCGAAAACATATTCTCTGATAAAGTAGTCCATATTAAACCAACGGAAGCTCCAGATTTTCCTGTCTAAACTTATTATCTCTAATGTGAACACGCCCACAAGTGGCTCCACTTTTCCAATTTTAAATATCCACGTGAGATGCGTGGACATGTAAACGCCCACATCACCTCCGTAAACAAACGTGAACATTCATCAAGTTTTCTACATCTACTTTTCGTTTCTAGAAGACGATGCGCTCGCTGAGGAATAAACCAGAATTTACCTCCGAAGAAGAGAGAGAACGCAATGCAACACACAGCTTGATCCAGTGGAGGAGATCATTCTGATGAGTAAGATTACTTACATCTGTTGTTATTGTGTTGTTTGAAATATGTCATTTCATTGCATCTAAATGTCTCACAACGCCAGGATGTTTTTTAATGTTCTATAAAATATAAACCACAAGATTTAAAAGTGGTATGAGTGTTTACACTGTTTACACAGTGAATCTAAGAATGTTTGGCACAAAGGTGTGTTACTGTTCAATTCTCAGTGTTTAGATCAGTATGTTTAATCATGTGTCCTTGACCTTCACTGTGTTAGACCTAAATTCTGATTATACTGTGTTGTAAATAAAATACAAATAATCAAAACCCCCATTTATATTTTACTCTTCTCACATTATGTTACCTGTCTCACAGACACATTACTGACTGATGGCTCATTATGGGAGGCCCTTTGTCTCTCAGGTGTGAAACACTAAATATTCATG